ATTGCTGATTTCACACTCAGAGAAGAGTCTGAATTCCTCCTTCATAGAGCTTCTTAGGAATATGAAATACTCTAGTCTGCCTGTAGTAATTAGATTAAACCTTTCTAGAGGTAGAATGATAAACTAGATAAAGGAAACTTTCAATTCTACAATTTATGACTTCTCTATTTTAAGAAAAATGCAGAAAACTTCCAGTGAATTCAAGAAAGAGCCTTCAAAGATGACCGAAGAATTTTTAAAAAGTACTAGTGAGGGGACCAGCAGTTAGCATAATGACTATATCTCTGAACTCCCATGTAGTCGACCATAGTTCAAGTCCTGAACCCGGTGGCTTAAAACTCACGCCGGGCGCATGTGCGTGCGTGCCCAAGATCCCAAGAGCAGAATGGAGGAGAAGGGATTATGGCGGGACCATCCCCTGTGGGGAATGGTTTCTTGCTTTCTGTCTCTCTGTCCCTCTCTGTCTGGCAAGTGCACACGCCCTATAGCAAAAGCCTCTCTCCCCCCCAAAAAAAAAAAAAAAAAAGTACCAGTGAGGAAATGTTAAAGAAATTGAAATGATTTTGCCTGAAAAAAGTCTAAGAAATAATTGAATAATTTTGTTATTTGAAGATAGGTATTCTTTTTTTTTTTTTTTTTGAGAGTTTTTTGTTATAGGGTGCTTACCCTCACCAGAAAGACAAAGACAGATAGAGAGACAGAAAGTAAGAAATCACCCTCTAGCGGGGATGGCCATGTTGCAATCCCTTCTCCTCTCAGGATCTTGGGTACCCACACACATGCACCTAGTGTGAGTTTAAGTAACTGAGTCCTGGACTCAAACCACGGTCAGCTACATGGGAATCCAGCGACATAGCCATTACACCAACTGCTGGCCCCTGAAGATAGGTATTCTAATATTCATGGATTATCAAGGAGCTAGTTTACTTTGTTATTGGAGACATAAGAAAAATAGGCTTAGGGACCAGCAGATGGTATAATAGTTACATTGCTAGACTCCCACATAGTCACCCACGGTTCGAGTCCTGGACCCAGTGCCTTAAAACTTACACTGGGTGCGTGTGTATGCATGCCCAAAATCCTGAGAGGAGAATGAAGGAGAAGGGATTGCAGCGTGACCACCCCCGCTGGGAAATGACGTCTCACTTTCTGTCTCTCTGTCTTTCTATCTTTCTGATGGGCACACGCATTCTATAGCAAAAATCTCTACCAAAAAAATAAATAAATAAAGGCTTAAGTTTCAGTAATGAGATTTGAACTAAATATAAAGGCCTTTCAAAAGATAAAACTTGTTAAATACCAGCATGAATTATCAAGGGAAGTTGTGGATCTCCTTCTCCGAGTCTGTTTTAAAAATAGGACAAACAGGGCTGGCCCATGGCCTGGTAATTAAGGGAACTGGATCCCATGTGGCCATCTGTGGTTCAAATCTCCTCCCCAGTGACTTGAACGTTCTAGACATGTGTGTATGCACTCCCAGAATCCCAACAGGTTGGAGAAAAGGAGGAGAAGAGATTTGTGATGCAACCATGCCCTACTGGGGGGAGGGGCAATTTCTCTTTTCTGCCCTCTCTCTGTCTTTGGTTAACACGTCTCCAGCCAAAAAAGACAAGGATAAAAAAGGCCTGTAGCAGTCAGACAGTGATACATCAGTGATATGCCACATCCTTATATGGCAGGTACATGTGGGAAGGTTTCCAGTTCAAGTCTGGTGACCTTCCTGGTGAGCTGACTATGTTCTTGACCATAACCTAAGACTGGATGAGGACTGGGATTGGATTGTGGTGTTTGGATGCTCTGGGGATGCTGTCTGTCTGTCTGTCTCTCCCCTTTCTCTCTCACTCATAGGATAAATGAATAATATTTAAAAATAGGAAAAATAACTAGGGAAAAGACAATTTTTTAAACAAGTGATGCTGGGAAAACTGGGTACCCACATGCAGTGAAGTTGGACTTTATCTCATATACAAAAACTAACTGAAACTGGATCAAAGACTTAAATGTAAGATCTGAAACTATAAAACTCTTAGAAGAAAGCAAAACTATCACTACATGATGTTGGATTTGGCAGTGAGTTCATGGATATGACACCAAGATTATAGGCAACAAAAGAAAAAATAGATAAATTGAGTTTCAGCAGTATTTAAAACTGCATCAAAGGACACTGTTAGCAGAATGAAAAGACAACCTATGGAATGGGAGAAAATATTTGAAAACATTATTATCTGATAAGGGATTATATCCAGAATACCACATTTTGACTATTTGTAAATGTACAGTTCTGCAAAAGTAAATACATTCACATTGTCGTGCAGCCATCACATCCATCTCCAGAATGGAGTGGTTAAACAGTGATTTCTTGGGACCAGCAGTTAGCATAATGGCTATGTCGCTGGACTCCCACGTAGTCGACCGTGGTTCGCATCCTGGACCCGGTGACTTAAAACTCACACTGGGTGCGTGGGCGTGCGTCCCCAAGATCCTGAGAGGAGAATGGAGGAGAAGGGATTGCAGTGTGTCCATCCCCCCTGGGGGGGTGATTTCTCGCTTTCTATCTCTCTGTCTCTCTCTGTCTGTCTGGCGAGCGCACGTGCTCTATAGCAAAAACCTCTCAAAAAGAAAAAAAAAAAAACAATGATTTCTTATTTCCCCTCCTCACAATCCCTATGAATTTGACTGTATTAGGTGCTTAATGTAAGTAGAATCATACAGGATTTGCCTTTGTGACTGGCTTGTTTCAATCAGCATAATATCTTCAGAGTTCATCCATATTTTGGCATGTGTCAGAATTTCTGTCATTTTTAAGGCTAAAAACTTTCCATTGTATGTATGTATATACCATATGTCGTTTTTCATACATTGATGGACTTGGGTTGCTTCCACTTTACAGCTGTTGTGAATAAGGCTGCTGTAAACATAGGTGTACAAATATCTTCCTGAGTCCCTGCTTTCACTTCTTTGGACTATACACACCAATAGGTGGAATCGCTGAATGATGGTAATTGTATTTGATTTCTTGAAGAATCACCATGCCATCTTCCAGTGCAGTTGCACAAGCAGGAGTGCACAAGCATTCCAGGTTCTCCACATTTTCATCAACAGTTGTTATTTTCTGTTTCTGATAGTAACCATCCTAATGGGTTTGTAGATGTTGAATTTTAAAGATATCGTAGTAAGGGGCCAGCAAGTTAAGGCACTGGACTCCCACATAGCTGATGGAGGTTTGTGTACCAGACCTGGCAGCTTGCTTTCTCACTTTCCCTCTCTGTCTTTCTCTGGTGAGTGCATATGCCCTATAGCAAATTAAAAATAATAATAATAATAATAATAAAATTAAGTAAATAATTCTTCAAAAAAAGATAACAAATTTGTGGTGACTTTTGCTTGTCTTTTAGGATGATGTTTGCTTGTCTTATTAGCTAGTTGCCTGGTATTCTTTCAATTCAGAATAATTAATTAGCCAGTTTTTGAAATTTGGTATAGAGAAAAGTATGATGCCTTATTGCTGGGGTCTTTAGCAAACATAGTTTTTAGAAACTTGAACAATATATTGATTGAAGTTACATACTTTAATTGCATTTGCAGTCTTTAATTCTCTTAAGTGTAAAAGAAAATATATAGAAGAATATTACTGATAGGATTGTTCATAATAATTGAAAACTGGAAACAGTCCAAGGTGTCCAAAAGCTATGGAGCATGTGTATATGTCTGCACATACACATGTATCCATAATATGTACATGCAAGAGAATATGTCAATCATTAATAATAATATACATTTACTCCTTGGTGTGGAAAGATATCATCATCAAATTGTTCAATTCAAACCCATTTTACTAAGCTGGGCATAGTGATGCTCCTGTGATCTCAGCTACTTGGATTGCTGAGACAGAATTGCAAATTCGTGATTAATCTGAGTAACATAGTGAGACCCTTTCTCTTCAGAAAGAAAGTAAATTCCTGAACAGCAAATATAGCATGATCTCATTTATATAAAATTGTTGTATTCACAAGTCTAGGTGAATGTATGTACAAAGAAATACTTGGAAGGATAGTCACCAAAATAGTCCCTGTCTTTAATTGTCTTTGAAGTAGTAAGAGTGGGCCAGCAAATGGTGTGGTGGTTTAAGGCAGTGGATTCCCACGTGGCCAACCATGGTTTGAGTCCTAGAATGGGCGGCTGGCTTTCTCATTTTCCTTCTCTGTCTTTCTCTGATGACTATAGCAAGTTAAAATAATAAATAAATAAATAAATAAATAAAGGAATTCTTAAAAAATATAAAAATAAAGTGGTAAGATCCTAGGTTATTTTTACTTCCTAATTTTTGTGTGTTCACATTTTTATTCTGAGCTTATACTCTTTTCCCAATCATAATAAAATTATTCACCATTCAGAATTCATAATAAAATGAACAGGAAATACATTCCGGGTTTTTTATTGTTTCTTTTTAGTTTTTTCCTATAGGGTGCGTACATTTGCCAGAGATAGACAGAGATGAGAGAGAAGGAAAGTGAAAAATCACCCATAAGGTGGGGGGGTGGCCACACCATAATCCCTTCTTCTCCATTCTCTCAGGATTTGGGGCACATACACACTCACACCTGGCATGTTTGTCAGACTGCTGGGTCTAAGACTAACTGCTCAGTCAGCCATGTGGGATCCTGCTGTCCTCCCTCCCATTCTGGTATTTAAAAAACAGGTTTGGCATTTGGTTTCCTAGGAGAATACATTTCAGGAGAATATTTCATAGTGAGGGAGCTTTCCTTGAATGATGGCTCATGCAAAGTCTGTTTTTATCTAACTCTCCATGGAAAGAGTTGTATGTAATTTAGCTTCATTTTTTTCTTACTTGTACTTTAAAAAAACACAAAAGCTATCATATGTGAATATCATCTTTAAAATATTAAGTGACCTTAGACCTTGTTTTCTTTGAAAACCTAGGATTGGGGAAAATCCTATTTGTTTCTAAGTCTGATTAAATTTTTCTTCTTGGGTTTCAGGAACCAATAAAATCACGTGCTCCGCAGCTTCATTTAGAGTACAGGTTTTATAAACAGCTTGGCAGTGCAGGTAAGTCAAGGCTTCTTTCTCCATTTACTTAGTGTATAGTTTAGCTGGAAGCCCTAAAATAAGCAAATATTCTTGTCTGATTTATCCATTTTACAAGATCATGTATCTCCCCTGCTCACTGGTTAATACACATAGTTAACTGGAAACCTACTTGCTCTTAGGTTCCTGGATGAACAATTTATTTGGTTAGGGGAAGGGAATCTGTGGTGTCATGACCATGGCCACAGACCAGCCTTCAAATCCTTTTTCCTCCCTAAAATATAGATGGTATAGGAGTTTTGCATTTTCGTGGTTAGTTAATTCTTTTTTTTTTTTTTTAAGGTTTTTTTTTTTGGGGGGGAGAGGTTTTCGCTATAGGGCACGTGCGCTCGCCAGACAGAGAGAGACATAGAGACAGAAAGCAATAAATCACCCCCCCAGAGGGGGTTCTCACACTGCAATCCCTTCTCCTCCATTCTCCTCTCAGGATCTTGGGCACGCACGCACACGCGCCCGGCATGAGTTTTAAGCCACCGGGTCAGGGACACGAACCACGGTCAACTACATGGGAGTCCAGCGACATAGCCATTACGCTAACTGCTGGTTCCCTTTTTTTTTTTTTTTTTTTTTTTAAGGTTTTACCATAGGACACATGCATTCTCTGGAGAGAGATAGACAGTGAGAGGGAGGGAAAGTGAGAAATCACCCCCAAGGGGTAAGAAATCACCCCCAGGAGGGGATGGCCACATTGCAGTCCATTCTCTTCCATTCTCCTCTTGAGATTTTGGGCATGCATATACACATGCCCAGCATGATTTTTAAGCCACCAGGTTAGGGACTCGAACCATGGTTGGCAATGTAGCAGTCCAGCGTCTTAACCATTGTGCCACCTGCTGTCCCCCATTTATTCTTTTTTCATCTTTTACATACACCAAAAGAAAATAAAGTTTGGTTATTAGTAAGCTCTGTATTATACCACAGTGAGACATACTAAAATACACATTCTGAAATACCACAACACTTATTTTATCCATTACATTTACTAATTTACATGAGGTAGCCATATGATTGCAATAACATGACCTTTGGGATTTTGAAAGATTGAGTTTATAACTTTAAAAAAGTTTTTGTTGTCTTTTTGACTTTTACCTGGAAGCATTAATTTCTGAAATATCTTACTGCCCTCCAGAAAAATATTTTGATTAAGCAAATCGTTACCAGCCTTAAGTAGATTGCACCTGTAAGACGTCTCTCTCTCAGAAGGTTAAGTTCTTTAGAGCTAGCTTCATTATTTGTCAGTAGAAATTCTCTGTTTAATGCTTCTTTTAGTGTGACAGTTTTATATGAATGACTGAAGCATGATTTCTATTTCAGGTGTAGTACCACTGTTGAAGGTACTATATTAAAAGAATTTGAGTTTTGGGACCAGCAGTTGGTGTAATGGCTATGTCGCTGGACTCCCACGTAGTTGACCATGGATCGAGTCCCAAACCCGGTGGCTTAAGGGCACATGTGCGTGTGTGCCCAAGATCTCAAGAGGAGAATGGAGGAGAAGGAATTTTGGTGTGACCATCCCCCCTGGGGGGTGATTTCTCACTTTCTATCTATCTGTCTCTGTCTTTCTGGCTAGTGCACGTGCCCTATAGCAAAAACCTTTAAAAAAAAAAAAAAAGGAAAGAAAAAAATTTGAGTTTTAATTTCTCAGATACATAAAATTATATAAGAGCCATTGAGTATTAGTCTATATCCTGACCAGACAATAATCACCCATAGTCATAACCTACTGAGACCATGATGGACATTTGTCCTTCGTTGATCTTAAAATGAGTTCTTGCTCACAGTAGGATCTTGGTTTATATTGTTGATCAATGAAAATATTCCTGGGATAAGATTTAAGACTGACTTCTGATTTCAAGGAATTTGTATGATGTGAGACTTACCTTCCCCGATGCTCCAGAACTAAATTTTAAGTGTTCTTTCTCTTACGTTGTTCCTGGTTTCCTAATGTTCTTCCTGGTTACATACATGTGTCATACATCTGAGGTACAGGTAAAATTATATTCAGTTCAGCCCAGTTTAAAGTTTTAATGGTCACTTTCCCTAGGCCAGTTCTAAGGATTTTTCTCTAAGTCTTCCCAGTTAAGACTCTCCAGATCAAATCAAATCTTTCCTTTTCAACACGGAGCTGTGGGAATAACATCTGTGCTGATACAGGACAAATTTGCATAGTTGCCACAGAGGTGGTTGGCCCAAAATGCCTAAAATATGTACGACCTGGCACTTTGCACTATCTGACTTGCTAAGAGCTTTCATCTTTCACACTAGAGGCAGAAGATGGGCCAACAATATTATCCTTTTTCCGGGAGAGGATGATCTTCACTGACATTTCTATAAACAGTCGTAGTTACCCTTACTTGAGATGTGTCAGTAATTCAGCATTAGTAACACCACTCCTCTGAGAATTCATAAATGTGTCCAGTTATGAAAAGAACCACTTATTAACTGGTCCTGTCATGCTAGTTTCAAGTTAGTTTTATAGAACCAAAATAGGTAGGCCAGTTTGATCTTTTTTTCCTCTGGGGTTCTTTTCCCAGCAGATGGCGTTAATGGTTACATCTCTGAACTTCCACATAGTCGTTCGAGTGGTTCGAGTCCTGGACCCGGCGGCTTAAAACTCACACCAGGTGTGTGTGCATGCGTGTCCAAGATCCCGAGAGGAGAATGGAGAAGAAGGGATTGCGGTGTGGCCATCCTCCCTGGGGGGTGATTTCTCGTTTTCTGTCTCTCTGTCTCTCCAGCAAGCGCACACGCCCTATAGCAAAAATCTCTCTCTTGAGACCAGTAGATGGCGTAATGGATACATCACTGGACTCCTATGTAGTTGACTGCAGTTCGAGTCCTGGACCTGGTGGCTTAAACTCACGCCGGGTGTGCATGCATGCCCAAGATTCTCTGAGAGGAGAATGGAGGAAAAAGGATTGCGGCATGACCATCAACCCTGGGGGGTGATTTCTCAGTTTGTCTCTCTGTCTTTCTGGCGAGCGCATGTACCCTATCTCAAATAAAAAGTTTTCTGTTTTTAAAGGAAAGTTAGATCTTCAGTTTCAGTGTGTAAAACAATATTACCTTGTTTTTATAAACCACTTTTCTCTTAAGAATTTAAGACTTTTACAGATACTATCTTATTCATTCCCAGCAGGTCTACAAACTTAGTAACAGGTTTTCCTTGTATGGATGGGGAAACTGAGGTCTAGCAGGGACCCATAGTTAACCCTGAGTCACATAGAGAACAGTGAGGAAAACTTGGATAACTAAATTGTCACAGTCCTCAAAATGTAATTTGAAGGCTGCATATTTATAGTAATTAAGGTAATTTTTACCCAAATTCAGTGGTTGGTATGTGTTTCCTTCCTGTATAATACCTCTGGTTGTGAGATCCCTGGGAAACTTACACATGGCAAAAAAGGGATCCAGATTTCACTTTGTTTTATCAAGTTCACTATTTAATCTTTTCTTTCTTGTTTTGAAAACTACATGTCTGTCTTGAAGACCAGAAAGTTTATTCTAAATTTCTTCTTCTTCTTCTTTTCTAAGAACTATTTATTTATTTATTATTGTTTAATTTGACCAGAGACAGAGAGAAGAAGGGAAAGTGAGAGAGCAAGACACCATCTCCAGGACTCAATCCATGGTTGGCCATGTGGGAGTCCAGCACCTTAACCACTATGCTACCTACCTGCTGGCCCCTGTTCTAAATTTCTTAAGCAGTTCTAAGGGACTGTTCTTGTTATAAGATTCACTTCTATTTTAAGTAAAATTCCCATCATTCCAGTATATCCTCAGAAGTTCTTATTCTTAAATTCCTGTATACTGCTTCTTGTGTTGGCCTCGCTTGCTTTTAATTTTTTCTAAGGAGCTTCACATTGTAGGAGAATTTTGTCAATCTCATACTTGAGATTTCTTCAGATTTATGCTTTATTTCTCTGTTAAATCAGAACCACGTTCTTGTTAATTTAACAGTTGCCTAGAGTCAAAGCTCTTTTTTGGGTACCAACCAGCACCTCCTGTTATTTTTGAGGGCATATAAATACCATTCCCTCCCTGCTGCTTTAGAATTACAAAGCCTCATCAGTTCTATTAACATTTTCTTTATTTGCAGCATGAAGGTTTCAGTGAGTGAAAAAGGCTTGCATGTGGCAGTTCCCAGTTTCTCAGTTGTATACATGGCCCCCGCATTCAACATAAATGATTATGTACTTTGGAAAAATGGTTCAAAACCTAGAAAGGTCAAAGCTATGCAAGGTTTGGAAGTACCAAAGGCAGCCTTGTAAGTCACCAAAGTTTGGGACATCATGTGAAGTAGGAAATCCTTCTCTTTCAAGAGGGGGATGAGTGGGAAGGATTTTGGGCCTTATGATTATCTATTTATTTTAAAAATATGATTTTTTTTTAGGAATGATTTATTTTAGTTTTATTTATTATTATTTTTTGAAAATTTGCCATAGGGCATGTGTGCTCACCAGAGGGAGGGAGGGAGGGAGGGAAAGTGAGAAAGTAAGCTGCTGGTTCTAGGACTCGAACCATGGTTGGCTATGTGGGAGTACAGTACTACCTGCTAGCCCCATGATTATCTTCTGACTACCGTCTTATAATTATGTAAGGGATAATAGGCAGATGGCCCAGTTATTATGTATATACACACAAAAAAATACTTTTCTAGTTCACATTTGCCTATTATGTGACCTTGTATAACTGGCCTATGTTCACAAAAGGAAAAAACCACACAGGGTGCCTGCTAGGTATTTAACAAGTTTTCTCACTATCCGCTCAATGAACTTTGGCTTTGTTGCATTTGTGAAACTTTGGTAAGGATCTTGTCCTTGCTTTGAAGATTATCTTCTCCTTTATAAGAGAGCCAGAATAGTCACTAGTGATTAGAATATCCACTGGAAAGCTAGGATGTGGCAACCTAGAGTTAAATTAGCTGTGATATATTTATTCATAGAGTCCTTGAGAGTTTT